TGATATGCTCCCTATATATATATATATATATATATATATATGATCAAATTAGTCCCTCAAATTGTATGTTGCTATCAATTTAATATTTAATTTTAATGAAATTAAAAATAAAAAAAAGTCTTTGAAATTGTAATCTATTACTCTCATTTGAGTCCTCCAATAAGCTTTGTTTTCTTAAATAAAAATCTTACATGGCACAATAATGTCGTATGACATACACATGATACATATGTAGAGTGACACATCTCATATGAATATGTCATGTGACATATATCTATCTCATAATATATGATTACATAGCATGTATGTACCACATAACATATGATCATGATACAATATCATCTTAATCTCTCACTATAATCTCTAAAATTGTAACTCACTTTATCTTTAAATGTTATCATAATTTTATCTTAATTAATTATGACTTAAATATTTTTTACAATAAAATAGATAATTAAATTAATATTGTAAATATGATAAATATTAAAATTTTGGTATTTAATATTGTATATATATTAATCCTTATATATAAAATACGAATGTCTATGTTATGTCTCATCCTCTTATCGCCAATTTCTCCTCTCTTTAATCCATTTTTATTTTTGGCTTAAATATGTTTAAACTACCTCGAATTAGCTTGATTTTCAGATTACTACTTTTTAAATTTTTCTTTGTTAAAATTACCTAACAATTTTTTTTTTTAATTTAGTACCTGACGTTAGTTTCCTCTGTTAAATGATGATGTGGCAAACGGATTGTCATGTCATCACCCAAAAGTGTCTGTCACGTCATCCAAGGGACTGCCACGTGGACATGGTGATGTCGTGGCCGTCCGTCTGCCACATCATCACTTGATAGAGGGGGACCAACGTCAGGTACTAAATTGAAGAAAAAAAAAATTAGAAAAAATTGTAAATTAATAGGTAGTAATCTGAAAATTGACCTAATTGGAGGTAGTAATCTGAAAAACCAACCTAATTGAAGGTAGTAATCTAAAAACCGACCTAATTGAAGGTAGTAATTTGAAAATTGTCACTGAAGGACAACCTATTTTGAGGCCACCATATTTCGATTGCATAAATTATACTAAGTGAAAGGAGCGTATGTGAATATTCATACAATCCATCGAATTCAAACTTTTTTTATTATTATTACATATGATGGAAACGTAAAAAAAAAAAAAAACAAGATTACAATTCCATCTGGAGGAGACTTGACTTAGCAAATAAATTTTCAGTACTTCCATATATAAGTGAAAGATACAAAATGCATATATATATATATAAATATATATATATATATAAATATATATATATATATATATATATAAAAGTTATTCCTATCTCACAAGTAAAATTCATAAGATTTGAAATTAAATTTTTATTTAAAAACTTATTATTAGTAAATATAAATATTACACACACATATATTATATATATACTGAGTTTTAATATAATTCCATAATTTTCTTTTTTTATAGTCAAGTGCAATAGTTTCCATACATGATCAATGAGAAGTTAATTTATGTGCATTTGTTGCTTTTGTTTCTAGTTATAGGTATTTTATGTCTTCTTCATCTTATTAATCTTCACTTTTCTCCACTTCTTCATTGTCCACTATCTTTGTTAGAATTTCTAGTCCATTTTTTATGACAAACCAAAGTTTGAAGTTGATGAATTGTATGAATATTCGCATACGCTCTTTTCACTTAGTGTAATTTATGCAATCGAAATATGGTGGCCTCAAAATAGATTGTCCTTTAGTGACAATTTTCAGATTACTACCTTCAATTAGGTCAGTTTTTTATATTACTACCTCCAATTAGGTTAGTTTTCAGATAACTACCTATTAATTTATTATTTTTTATTTTAAATATCTGACTAATTTTTTTTAATTTAGTACCTGACGTTGGTCCTCCCTCTGTCAAGTGATGACGTGACAGACGGACTGCCATGTCATCACCCAACAGTGTTTGCCACATCATCACCATGTCCACGTGGCAGTCCCTTGGATGACATGACAGACACTATTGGGTGATGATGTGACAGTCCATTTGCCATGTTATCATTTAACAGAGGAAACTAACATCAGGTACTAAATTGAAAAAAAAAATTTGTTAGGTAATTTTAACAAATTTTTTTTTAAAAAGTAGTAATCTGAAAATCGAGTTAATTCGAGGTAGTTTAAACATATTTAAGCCTTTATTTTTTAAATACATAAATAAAAACAATTTATAACTTCTAATGTCTCTATATTTATATTTTATTTTCATAATTAATTACCTTATATAAATTATTTCTTATTTTTTATTATAAATATATCTATTACTTTCATTCCCAAATATTACATTTTAATGTCTTTGATATTTTATTAAAATAATATATGTATATATATACTATATTTTTTATTTGTATTATAAAATAAAATGAATAAAAAATAATAAAAGTTTGACAATTAAAAGATGATATATTTAATTTTTTAATAATTAATTCACTTATCAATAATTTTTTTATTATGAGAATTTTTTTTATTTCTTAAAACTTATAGTGTTCTAGTTTTAATTTAAAAAGTTATAGAATGAAATAAATAATTAAATTAATATTATTTATAGAGAGATTAATATATTTAACAACATATAATAATAGTGGTTCATAATATTCATTCTCATCTTAAATTTTTCTCTTATAATTGTATAGTTTGGTAGTCCTCTAATATTCATTTAATACAATTTGAATATATTTATGATTGTAATTACAATATTAACTTAATTATCTATTTATTGTATAAATATTCAAGTTATAATCACTTAATTAAAATAAAATCATG